GCAATTGCAAAATGGTAAAAATACGTACCACCTATCGTAAGCCTATTGATAGGGCTCCAGTTTGATTTCAACTCCTTTCAGTGTGTGCATACAACCGAGTGAAATTATCAGCTTATTACTATGCCACCCCATGACTCCTTTTTACAAGGTCAAAAAGGCAGAAAGACGGTATATTTAAAACTTTTCTCTCATTCCTTGCCTTTTGAGTCGGACACAAGTTTTCAAACTTTGAAGTCTTGGTGGTGTGGGGTTCGCTTTCATGAAATAGAGGTGCTAGACTCACAACCCTCCCTCCTTCCCAGGATTACTACTGGCTGTTAAACCGGACAAGGTTTGCGAATGCATCGACCACAAATGAAACTCAGACCTCCAGCGTGGCTGATGAGCATTCCATCATTGAGACACCAACGCAAACCAGGTAGCATTGGATGGCTTTCTCATGCCAGTTTGGAAATCTTCATCAGTGTGCACACATGACTCCACTTGGGAACGAATCCACGACTTTCACGCTACGAGCTCTCTGGCTACCTAGGCAATCGGACAGTAGCAAAAATTAGAATCAAACAAATATAATGAAACACCAGAATATAGCCAGAATATATATATATATATATATATATATATATATATATATGGTGAAACAAAAGATTCTCCAGTGCACCGACGAGCAACAAAAACAGGATTTGAATGCAAACTACAAGACACTGAACCAAAGAGTGAAGAAGAGTGCCAGCGAAGACAAAAGAAAATATTATGAAGCCATGGCAAGGGAAGCAGAACAAGCTGCAGGCAAAGGAGACCTCGCAGCACTCTACTGAACAACTAGGTTCCTATCGGGGAAGAGATCAACAGAAATTAAGCCGGTCAAGGATGACAATGGAAAGTCACTCACCAAAGAAGTGGAACAAAGGAAACACTGGGCTGAACACTTCAAAAGACTACTAAATCGACCGCCACCTACAACGCACCCAACAATACCAACAACGGAAGCAGATTTACCAGTGAACATCAACCCCCCAACGAGAACAGAAGTCCTAAAGGCAATCAAGATGCTAAAAGCTGGAAAAGCAGCAGGACCAGATGGAATCCCAGCAGAAACATTGAAAATGGACCCAGAGACAACAGCGGACTTGATGACACCACTACTGGAGAAGATGTGGAAAGAAGGCAAAGTACCTAAGGATTGGAAGAAAGGATACTTATTCAAACTACTAAAGAAAGGAGACTTAAGTCAATGCAAGAACTGGCGCGGAATTATGCTCCTGTCCATCCCAAGCAAAATACTAAGCCGCATCATCCTGGAGAGAATCAAACATGCCCTGGATGAAAACTTCGACCGGAACAGGCTGGATTCAGGAGAAACAAGTCATGTATTGATCAGATCGCCACATTACGGATCATCATTGAACAAAGCTTGGAATGGCAGTCACCTCTCTATCTCAACTTCATCGACTTTGAAAAGGCCTTCACAGACAGCGTCGATCGAGAGGTGATTTGGAAACTACTTCGCTACTACGGGGTGCCACCGACAATAATACATCTCATCCAACAGCTGTACGACAATGCTGCATGCCAAGTAATCCACAACGGGAAACTTACGGAACCCTTCGAAATGAGGACAGGAGTAAGGCAAGGCTGCCTACTATCGCCAATGATTTTCTTGATTGCAGTAGACTGGATAATGCGACAAACAGTGGGCAATGAGGAAACAGGCATAAAATGGACTCACACAAAAAACTTGGAGGATCTGGACTTCGCCGATGATATATGTATGATTTCCCACAAACTGGAAGATATGCAAGCGAAAAGCAACAAGTTAGCAGAAGAAGCATCAAAGATAGGCCTTCAGGTGAACATAGATAAAACAGAGGTCATGAAGATTCTTGGACAAGAACAACAACAACAAACAATGATCAGCATAAATGGGAGGAACCTGAAAGAAACAACCTCCTTCAACCACCTACCTGGGAAGCATCGTTTCAACTACAGGCGGAACTGACGAGGATATCAAAGCAAGAGTCGGAAAAGCAAGACATGCTTTCACTACTCTCAAGCCTGTGTGGAGGTCAACAGCACTCAGCATCAAAAATAAGATCCGGATTTTCAACTCTAATGTGAAGTTATCGCTACTTACTATACGGATCAGAGACTTGGCGCGTCATAAAGAGCATCTCAAACAAACTACAGACCTTCATTAACAGTTGTCTTCGCTCAATACTACTCAAGATCAGATGGCCAGAAAAGATCAGCAACAAAGATCTCTGGCAATGAGCGAACCAACCAGGAACCGATTGTGAAACAAATAGGCAGGAAGAAATGGAGATTGATTGGCCATAGTCTGAGAAAACAAAACATCAAGTGACATCACTAGACCAGCCATTGCTCGATTGGAACCCGAAAGGGAAGCGGCGAGTTGGTCGTCAGTGCAAGGGTGACTTGGAGGAGGTCATGTGAAGAGGAGATGAAAACGTGTGGGCAGACATGGAGCCAGGTGAAGACTCTAGCAGAGAACAGAATGCAATGGAGACGCACGGCTGAAGCCCTATGTTCCTGTAGGAATTAAAGGAAACAAATAATAAATAAATAAAATTGGTTGGAGTCAATGAAATCTTAAGGAACCTAACAATTGAACTTTACTTCAGTGCTCACAAATGACTAGATAAGAGATGATTTTCTTTAAGTTTTAGTTAGAGCTTTCAACCAGTAGGGTCAGATAAACTGGATATAAAAACAGTTATTCATTAGTGACATAAGATGGTTTCTGAAATTTACTAAAACTGACGGATTCTTACACGTAATACCTATTTAGTAATCCTTAATTTCCAGTGTTTCTCTAGATGATTCATCGAACATTGAGCAAGTTCAGCTTTCTAATCCAATTGTGACTATTTTATACTTGCAAAGCTAATCTGGTTTCTATTTTACTGAACTGAAGTTCTAACGGTAGAAAACAAAAACCTTGGTAAAGGCTGATAAATATTATCAGTAGCAATCGCCACAAAGTCACCTACCTCTTACGGAATATGGGTCCGTTGAAGTGGCGATTCCTCATAGGCTCGAGTTCTATTTCTTAGTGTTGACAAGAAGGAGTATTATCTAAGATGCATTATTCATCTCATTTGACACTTGTTATTTGAAAGTGCCAACAAACAGTTGTGGAGATATTGTCATCAGGATTCTAATCTGAATCTTATCTCAAAGACCAATGTACTATACCGTAGGCCACCTATTTATAATAATAGTTTCCTGTCTTTTCTTAACCGGTAACTTGCCTGTTTTTCATTCATTGAAAATTTAAGAACATTTTTACTATAACAGAAATTATGTATCCAATGCTAAAAATTTTCCAGACTAATAAATATAAACTCACTTTGGTCACATATACGGGGAAATTCAGATTCATGAAGTTAGTTTTGGTGATCTGTAAGTGATGAACACTTCTCCAGTGCTTCTGGATTTTCAATTGTTCTTTAGTTGATATGTATTTATGAAGAAGACTTTCCTGAATTCGACTGTCTCACATCGAACTTTAAACAGAATAGAATATGTCGATGTGTTTTTCGTTCAATGTCATTTTCATAATCTTACTGTAATTGTGTTCTGTTGAAGATGAAAGTAAAACTGAACTAATGGACAACAATTCGCTGAATTTTTTTAGTGTAGATGTGCAGCTCTTAAGAGGCATTTAATTTGTAACATATTCTTAGTGTTTCGTTGTAGGCTGACGAGTGGATGAAACTGAATGAAATCGAATGAAAGTTTGTGGCTTCAGTTTAGGTCTAATAAACAATTCGGTGTTTTTACTCAGTCATCAAAACTTCTATTCTTGAATTGTGGCTTAAATTCTGCTTCTGTTCAAGTGTTTTGGAGTATTCAAACACCGTATCCGGCTCGTCAACACTGTTTATGGATTAGTAAGTGGATCAGTCACTTGGATCACCGCGATCCATTTAAGTTTAAATAGTTTTCAACTTCTTAAACCAGTCAATTATATATATTTATGTATATTGTAGAGTTTATGTATGGAACCTTATCGTTATTTGTAGACTTCAGGATGTGAGAAACTTGTTTTTTAATCAGAATAATATGATCTTCATTGCTGTCTTAGATATCCTTGTTAGTCACTATCGAAAATGTAATTATGACCTTACTGCAGGATAAATTGAATCATTTTTAATGGGGCCTGTATGCCAAAAGATGCCAGTTAATCGGAACTTTAGACATAAAGAAAGGAAAAAATATCTCTGCTAGACTACTAGTGTTATGTAAATTAGTTGTGGCTCAGTTAATTACAGGATAACATCCTGGAGTTTGAGACAAAGATTACTTGGTTCGAATCCCAGTTTAAACATAAAACAAAATGCAATGGTAATAACTATTCAGCAGGTGATCTCCATAAAATATTAAGCCAAACACTAGATTTAATCGTTTTTAAAAAGAATTAAATTTTTGATTGTAAAATGCTTCTTTAATCCCTATCTACTTGACATACGCTTAGATGACGCCTGATGCTTGAAAACGACTTTCATGAAAGTGACTTTTAGAAACATTGGAAATGTATCAGTATTCAGCACTTAGGTGTTTCAAGATCTAAGTTTTCAAGCACTGAACCCTTGTGGCTGTGAACAGAACCCGTCTTAGTACCTTCAACTTTCATTTTATTACCATGATCAGAAGCAGAAATAACAGTAGTCCTACAACTTAATGTAACATCACTAGCAAATACTTAAAGTTGTTTTGTCTCGTCGAATACTCATGCACGGGACTCGTTGACACAGGATAATATTTATGTTCACCATCAGAGAGATAAAACCTCATTAAAAGTTATTTACGCTTATAAACTGTCAGATAAGAAAGATCCTGAAAAAATGAACAAAACCAGCCTCAAAGGTATAAAATATTCGATATCATGACGTTATATGCTATGAAGTATTTTTATTTAATAGAAATAAACAATTAGCAGAGCGTGTTCTATCTCTTTATATTATAGATTTCCGATTTCACTTTTTTCTTGGTTTTATAAATAAACAATTTTTATTACGTCCCATCAGCGTTAAAAGTGTCCGTTTAAGAATTCCACTTGTTTTCTTATTGACATCATCTTCAAGTGACACTTTATACACTTTCTTGTAGGCGAACATAATGTCAGTCAAATCAATCTATAAATAAGAGAAAGAAAAAGGTGAAAAGTAGAATTTTAATTTTTGATCACAATTGGCTAAAGTAGGTGCTGATTCAAATGAAAAGTATCAGCAGAGGTAACATGGATTGTGAATATGGAGTTTTTAAAAGACTAATCTATGCAACATGAAGCTAATATTATGTCTCCACTTTTATATTTCGCAATAACATCGAGATTGAAATGGAGACTCCAAGGTAGGCACAGACGTGCAGATGAGGGATAAGGTCTGACTATGACAAAAACATTATACGTTAGCTACTTGTTTCCCCTAGCCCGCTCTACTTAAGCGGAGATACAAAACTACGTGAGATGGAAAGTTTTTTAGGCAATAATGCATGTTTAAAAATATCACAAATGATATGTCAATTAGTCTGTATTCATGATCAATAAAATAACTAGCGTTATTTTATGTAAACCAATACTGATCGGTTTGTTTCTAGACAGACATTGATCACTATATCACCAATAAACGGTAATCTATTATTTACCTGTCTACATATCACCCCCATCTTGTACAAAAGACATGAATCGGGGTCAACCTGGAGCCACATCGTCTGTTTTCGGAACCTGGCTGACCAATGTTGAGGGGGCAGTATTTTATTTATTAGAAGGTCAGGAGCATTTGTAGCCTCCTACATGTCACAGCATGAGAAGCTGTGGCATGCTTGAGGAGAAATCGCTATTCGAGACAAGAAAGTTAGGCGTTAACTTGTGGTTATGAAGCACTTGACTCAGGTCTCTTTGCTGGAGAAACAGGCTTAGCGCCATCTGGGGGATGTAGAGTCTGAAGACTGATGAATTTTTGGCTGCAAGTGCTGACTGAGAACGGCATTTACGGAAAAATGTCGAGGATGATCGTTGTGTGCGTTGCTGGTTAGAACCACCGTTGTGTCCAACATTATTGCAGTCGTTGCATCGGTGCTGTTTACACGGATAAGATGTGTCTAAATGCCAGCATTACGATGGAAGTGTCATCTTTGGGTTTCGGCTGGTATTGCGTTGGTAAATGGGATAATGGACGTCTGAGGTAGGGCCAGGGAAATTGGAGTCACTGTTTGATGCAGAAGTTTTGAGAGGTCTGGCGAACTGCACAGACTTCAACACCACCCTGGAGTTCAGATTGAACAAAAGTGGTTGTCCGAGAATTTCGTCCAGTGTCGAAGAATCCAAAAACCCTGTCTCAAGAAAAGCCACCTCCGACACACGTTTGTGCGTTAGTGGTACAGTGGTTAGGACTCTCGCCGACCATGCACATGGTTCAGGGTTCGATCCCCTGCCGACGCACACCTGATATCAATGGTATGCCTGCAAAATTTGGGCTACCGATATCACATGCTGAAAACTCCATACCTGTACCAAAAAATACGGTGTGGAATCAAGCTGTAATCGAAAATTGAAGAAAAAATCAAAAATTTTGCTGAGGGGCCTTAAATTAGAATGCAATGGTTATAGAGTGCAGTTAGCTTATCAATAAGTCATTATGTGATGTTAATTGACTACAAAGCTACTCCAGAAACTTCCAAACAAATAATGATTCAGCAATCAACAGAAACTATCTTTTCAAGTATTGGTTTTGTAGGGATTTTGTTTGATTGTATGGAGGATTTCATCATGAACTGACATCAGTTAGAGAACCACTGGAAAACCTGGGAGTACTGTACAGCTGTTTCGTCCTAGTTTGGGACTCTTCATCAGTACACACCTACCGGTATTCAAACCCAGGACCTTCTGGTCACAAGGCGAGCTCGTAGACCATTGAGCCACTTGGACCCGATCCAATGGTCTACGAGCTCGCCTTTGACCAGAAGGTCCTGGGTTCGAATACCGGTGGGTACATACTGATGAAGAGTCCAAAACTAGGACGAAACAGCTGTACAGTACTCCCAGATTTTCCAGTGGTTCTCTAACTGATTTCAGCTCATGATGAAATCCTCCATATAAAGAAACTATCTTTAACAACGATTTATTGAAGTTCAGTTATAAAGTCACGAGAGAGAATGTTGGCCAGATTGCATATAAAGACAGCATTGTATCTAGAAATATGAAAAGTAAGGGGTTACAAGTTGTTGCACGCCTCTTCGACGGAAGTTTCTAGCTACACGGTTTGGTGTAATCGTTTCGTCATCATCAGGTTAAAATACTTGAAGACCAAGTAGTTGCCATCTTAATTTTGAGGCGCAAAACTTTTCTACTATTACAACGGACGGTCCTGTTTTCTTTTCTTACTACCATCTTGGATGTACATCTCCCAAGTGATGGTTTAACGGATGCTTTTTGCTTTCCAGATGATTCTCGGCAATTAGAGTCTGGTGGAGGAGAAAAAACTTATGTCAAGTCCAAGTGTCTTTGACTATGAAGGAATTCATCGTTATTAACAAAGTGGATTTCAGTCTAGACTTTTGATATATACACATTTCCCAGCTGCATTAGAAAATCTTGTTGTAGTGCACATTAAAATTTTGTTGTTATCATGTGTCTGAGATAATTCTAACAAACAGCAAAAATATATGTAGTACGTCAGGAGACTTAAATAATGAGATGAAACAATTAGAAGAAACACTAGTGCTAAAGAACTATCCAATGAAATTCATTAAGAAGTTCATAAAAGTTGAAAATTAAAGGAAAAAATAGTAGTGAAATTATAAGCTATAACATAAATAAGGAGTTTAAGGTATCTTCAGGAAGGTACATGAGAAATCTCACATAAGATTCTCGACAAAACCGGGGATTACGATGGTATTTAAACCTACAAACTACCTCAATGACCAACTCTGCAGGCTCAAGGACTTCACTGACCCAATTAAACAAAATGATTCGCTCTGTAAAATACCTTACAGTGACTGTATGGTTGACTACATAGGTCGCACTAACATCCTGGGACTAGTAAGGTTATGGGAGCTTAGGAATTAACCCAAGTGTAGAATGACTAACCACAGTAACCGCAGTGAATATACTAACACACGATAGGGTTCTAAAAAGTAATTTCGGTAATTGGATGGAGAGGTTAGTCATTGAATATTTGTTAATCGAATCTACACCTAACACCTTAAGTAAGAATGATTCAACGCCTATACAAGTGATATGGGAAATATTAGTACTTATAAAATCAAAGAGTAAAAAAGACTGGAATTATGTAAACAAAGCTGTTATGTTATGTAAATGCCTTGATATGGTTATGAGTAATAAATGGTGCTGAAAACGTCATTAGTAAATAATACTTTATCACAGCGTGTTTTCATAAGATAAATTGTGCTATGATGGGAAAACTAATTTTGATTCTTCTTACTTCTGCTCTTGTGATGAAAAACCTCAAAACTTCTTGATGATCCAATGTAGAGGCGTAAAGAAGTTTATGGATCAGTGTTGCGAAAAACTTAGTACGCCGATTTGCTATACCCACTAAAATAGAAGAAATAACATGTAAATCCTGAACATTTGAAACAAATTCGCAGGATTTTTAGGAGTAAAATAATATACAATCATAAATATCCTAAGTACTGCAGTACTTTAAAATTAGTTTTATCAGTTTAATTTTTCCATGCCTCAGATGATTTTTACTTTGGTGTGTCTGCTACGTTTTACAAAATGTTTTTGACTTCACTAAATGAAATTCTCTACTCTTGTTTCATATCTGTGACAAATTAGACTCACTTAAGTACTTTCCACCAGTGTCACTTTATCACCTGACTCTGCCTTCTCCTTGAGAATGCTAGTTTAGGATATAAGCCTGGAGATGCTTGTATGGAAAACTATATGGTGGTTGGTAAGTCGTCACAGAAATCTTAGCGAAATCTTGACATTCCCAAGGTTTAGGGGTTAGGAGTCAGTTTTTTTGAAGTCCTAACCCAAACCTTGTTGTATGCAACAAATTAATTAATAGAAAACTTGGGTACTGTGGTTGAGTATAACTCCATTATGGATACGACTTTATTTTGATAAATCCCAAAGTGTTGTACAGTAATATTATCTGATGACGTTTTGAGCACAAACTATTGCTCATAATCATATCAAGTTACTCACACAACTTTTTACTTTATATATATATATATATATATAAAATTACTGTACAGCACTGCATGATTTATCAAAATAAAATCTTATGTATAATGGAACAATTTAATTAATTTGAAATAATCTTGAAATATATCGTTAAGTGGTTTCCGTGACTCAGTCTTCAAGTTTCATTTCTAAGACTAAGCAATGATTGATGGTTAAAGATGCTGACTATCATTTCCGCTTTCATTAACCTGCATATATTTATCAGGTACTTACATCCTGCTCTGTTTTTTTTACCGACTGAGATAAATGGACATAACTGTCGACGTTTGTTACCTAAATAAGTAATAATATATATATATTTGTATTTAAGGTTAGACTGCGGATTGACATCAGTTAGAGAACCACTGAGAACTAAGGGGTACTGGGCAGCTGCTTTGTCCTAGTTTGATCAGCAGTACGAACATACCGGGTTTTGAAACCAGGATCTTCCGGTTACAAGGGAAGCTCGAATACCATTCAGCCACTGGGACCCGATTCAATGGCCCATGAGTTCCAACTTCCACCAATTCGTGATTTTAGCGCCAGCACCAACCAGTGTCACTGGTGGGACTTCATCTTTACTCCCGACTGTGTTGACCCCACTGGTCACCGCTTCTCATTAGGACTCCAGGCAACTTCGTCCTGTTGTAAGTCACTAGCGAGCATCAGATTAATATTCAAGAATAAGTTTGTAGGGATTCTATTTGTTTCGGGTTAGACTACGGATTGATATCATTTAGAGAACCATTAAGAACCAGGGAGTACTGGGAGAATTTGCCTGGAGTTCTAATGAGAAGCATTAACCAGTGGGGCCATCCAGTCGGGAGTGAGGATGAAGTCTCACTGATGATAGTGGTTGGTGGTGGCGCTAAAATCACGAATTGGTAGAAGTTGGAATTCACAGGCAGTTGGGTTGGGTCCCAGTGGCTTGCCTTGTAACCGGAAGATCCTGGTTTCAAAACCCGGTAGGTTCGTGCTGCTGATGAGTCCCAATCTAGAACGAAGCAGCTCTCCAGTACTCCCTGGCTCTCAATGGCTCACTAAGTCATATCAATCCGTGGTCTAGTCTGGTACAAATAGAATCCCTGAAAACTAATCCTTGAATATTTATATTTTTTTTCAGGAGATATCATTTCAGTCGAAGTGGGTCTTTACTTAAGGCTTTTAACTGTTACATTTCACTCTTTGTAAATTGAAGTCGATAAACTGATCATCAACTTTAAGCGTGTTTAAATTATTGTAGAATAAGTTGACATTGTATGGAGAAAACTTACTCATCTTTATGAATGACTGAAACATATGGGAACTTACAAAATGTTTCGAGAAGAAACTTAAGATCTCCACTTGTTTTATCTGCCACTTCTTGTTCAAGAGTTCTTCCGAAATTCTAGAGGAGAAATTCAAATTTAGGCATAAAATATTTGCCAAATTTTCTACACAGTACTCAAGTTTGTATTTATATTTAGAGTTAGGAATGGTGTCAAATCTTATTTCTTAGACAGCATTTTAAAACATGCATTTTTTGATTTAATTACTAATAATGAATAATGGCTTTATTCTGAAAATGAGTTCATTTACAATACAGAATTTTCAGCACGTTTCTTATTTCAAGGTATTTAATTTTTTTCCAGAATTCTCAAGTTGGTTGAAACTTATTTGATAATGTGCCTGAGTATAAATTGTGATTCTTAGACATAATGGTATGATTAAAACAACAGGATAGTCGAGTAAAAACGATGCATTTGGGTGGATTGGAAATCTAGGTAGCCCAGTGATTTAAGCAGGCAGCGAAAGTAAGATGTACTGTTTGTTTCTAATAAAGTAAACATAAAAGGTAGTGAACCAAATAAAAACCATTTCAACGACCATAAAACAATAAAAAAAACTGATTACTGAACAAAGAACATTATTTTCGACAAATTCTTCATCGGGTTCTACAGCTATATATCCATAATAATAAAAGAATTAGGGTTATTAACAACATAAATGTTTAAATAACCCGGAATCAGTAGTATCAATAGATTATTATGGATATATAACTGTAAAAGCTGATGAAGAAGTTACCGAAAAGAATATTCTTCGTTCAGTAATAAGTCTTTTAAAATTGCTTAAAACAATCAGTTAACATATCCGCTATATCAAAGAAATCTGTATAAAACAGTTGATCGAATTTTTCAGGTGATATAGAATTTAAAACAACTGGGATACATTTATACATACACGTGCCTACTAATTTATCTAACGACTACATTTTGTTTGTCTTAGTTTCAAAGTGCGGTTAACACAGATATTTATTTCTTTGAAAATTGGTCTGAGTATTAATTTTCCGAATAACAATTTACTTATAGTTTGCAGAAAAACTTCGTTATGTAAAGCAGTTTTCGTCGTTCATCTTTGCGAAAAATGTTTTCTAGCAGAATGAAATATTGGAACAGTACTTATCAGTTTGTTAGCTGCCTTCTCTGTTAGACCACAAAAGTGCAAGCGAAGTATTGGAAATCATATTAGATTTATGCATTATGTGTTGGTTAATAGCTACGATGAAAAATTATTGCTTTAATTAGTTAGGAGTTGGGTGGCACAGTGTCCTGGACTCACACATTAATGTGGTATATCAGCCACCTTAGGAGAATCTGTTTAGTCATTGGGGTCCGAAATCGCCTGATTTAGTACTGAGTTCAGAGTCACACTGTTCAAGTGACAAATAATCTCACCGCGAAACCCATTATATCACTGAATTCTGAGACTTCCAGAATTTTTGGTGTGGCTTTGACTACCATCAGTATTTTCTAAATTGGAAGGTAGTATTGACTATATATATATATCATAGAATAGCTATGAAAAATTCTTATATGCTATTACTTGGTTATTTTTTACCACCCACCTTTTTGTACACTTTATCTACCAATGCAAGCCCGTAAGGATCTAGTTCACACATAAGTATTGAAATATTCCCACCACAGACACATTCTTTTCTATTAGAAAAAAACAAGACAGGAGAAGATAGTGTTATATTACCGGGTATTTTATCTCTCACCTATGCTTCTGAAAAATGCAGATCATGGATACTACTGACTCAATGTTATTTTAAACGATCATGTTGTTATTAACAATATTTCTCTGATTATTGTAGTTGTATAAATGTAGAACCTGATGACAAAAGTATATATCGAAAAGATTATTCTTTGTTTATTAATTAGTCTTTTAAATCAATTAAAATTAGTTGGAAATGAAGATTTCCTACTCTTAAAAGAATTATTTGGTGGGTTGAACTACTCAGGGAATAATTATTATCAGGTATTGGTTTGCAGGGATTTTGTTTGACTGGTTGGGTGAGTACTGATGAAGATTCCCAGACTGGGACGAAGCACTTGTCCAGTACTCTCAGGTTTTCCCATAGTTATCTAACTGATGTCAGCTTTTGATGAAATCCTTCAGCCAATAGATTAATTGTTAGTTGAGAAACCATTTAAATAGAATATTTAATACTTGAAAGGTAGTCTAGAAGTTTACGTTTCTAGAAAAGTATACGCGTGCGACTCTTTGAATATATAATACTGTATTATATATAATTTAGGCAGTAGTGGAATTTTTATTTCTTTGGAATTTTAACAGAAAGACTTAATAGGCATACCTTTTAAATGCTTTATGAAGATCATTGGCGTAGATTTCTGCTTCTTCAATTCCTGGATGTGGATAATAATATTTACAATCACGACGTGTTTTTATGGTGACAGGAGATGGAAGTTGGGCTCCTGTTGCTAAGCATATTAATCCTTTTTGATATTCTCCACATGTATACTTTTTTAAATCGGAAACAAGTGATGGTCCACTCGCTGTAGAAGGAAAATTTAGTTTTAGAAAAATTTCAAGAACATCGATTTTATTTTAAATATTTATAATTAGTAGCGATTGAATTTTAAACGAAAAACTAATTAGCTGATAGATTTGAAAGGGTGTCTGCTGTACGGCGGTATAATGCTCGCCAACCACGCATGTGGTCCAGGGTTCGAACTCTGGCCGATGCACTCCTTTACCTCGCTAAGTCAGTAATAAGTCTGGTAAGGTATGAGGCTAGCAACTCCATCCCGTAAAAATAAACACCACTGCTACCGAAACTTCAAAGCTCTAGTTTGAAGCCCTATGTTTCACTGGGAACGTGAAGGAATAAAAACAATAGGTAGATTCGAATTAACTGCCTTTTAAATGATGATCAGTAAATCTGTGCCCTAATTTTATTGTTTTTTCAAGTTCATCCATTATTGCTTCTGCATCAAATCAAACCATTAAAATATAGATCTCAAAAGTTTTTAATGTTTGATTGAAATTGAAAGCATTTTACAATCATTGTCGGTCAGTTTTTCTGTCAGTCTACTGGGTTGATAATTTAAGCACTTGGTACGTTAGATATGAAAACTTCTCAACTTTATCTGACTCACACTGTCAAATTCCAAATGTCTTATAGCTTAAAGCTTCTGCATAATAATTGTTAGAAGTCATGATCCATCTTTTCAAACTTGTATTCTAATATTTTAATAGCTCATTTTAATTTATAACATATCCATTTATGGTATAAACACACAATTACAAGCAAGACTGTAAAGTTGTCACAAATTTTATAACATAAACTCATGTTGTAAAGGAAGACTTACAGATATAGTGTATAAATAAATGAAATGTATTATTACTTTGTAAATGAATGGAATCAGACACTTCAGATAATCATTTATATCCCAACAAAGAAATGAAATGACCGTTCATTAATTGACACATTTTAACACTTTGATTAGACAATAGTAAGTAACTAGTGTAATGTGTCAAGTCGTTTGTTTGGTGAAGACTCTCATCCCTTAATGCCGCAGCCAGTGATGTTACCACTGAGCTACTACAGAAGGTCAGTGGCGGGCCCGAATAGCTCAGTGGCAACGTCTCTGACTGTAGGTGGCACTGGGTGATGTGGTTTCGAATCTCAGAAGGGACATGAGTTCCTTCAAGACTGCAGATACACCTTGTTGACGAGTGCGAACTGGGGCGAAACCTGTGTCCAAAGTTTCCTGCTGATTGACTTTAACCATCTAATGATATATTTTAAGCTGATCAGGTCACCTCTGACTTGACAAGCTGATATGATAAATATGAACTCCGTCGTACCTTTTGCTTCTTTATATTTTTGAATGATGGTTAGCAGTTGAGAAAAGATGAGTGACACGAAACCAGTGTATACTATCTTGGAACTTAAAAACTTCGGAATTCCAAAGAATTTATAGTGTTTGTGCTTATCCTATCTGCTTTACATGGGATGAACTGAGCGACGAACATATATGTTCAGTATTCATTCTGTACTACAAATATAACACAGTATATTCAATAATGAAATCGTAGCCTGCAGATTTTGTAAGTCTTAAGTAAGGACAATTAAGACTGTATTCATGTGGAAGAAAATTTTAAGTCAAACTTCTGACAACATCACCATTATAATACAAACGACAATCTTACCAGCTTCATAATTGTTAGCTATTATGACTGTCTCTTCAGCTGTTGCTTCAGTCAGGATACCCGTTACAGCAGAAAAATTTTTCATGGGTAATACTTTTTGAAGATGTGCACCCAAATAAATTGCTGTCTCTTGAATCAGTGTCAACAAAATATCCTTAAATGTTTGATTTACAATTGAAGTTAGTATTCTCCTGCGCAATTCCTTTTAAATAGGAAAAAAGTAAGAAGAAATAGGACTCTGTGTTTTGACAGACTGAAACAGTGAGGAATAAAAGTCTACTAATGAAACATCTGTTCAACCAAAATGAAAAATTCAGTAATTTTCACTGAAATTATTTTTAGTCGTGTTTATCTCTATACTATCTACTTTATAAAAGAAATTAATCAGTAGACAGACACATGAATGGATTCGTTCGAAGCCGCTAGTGTGAGCACTATTTTTGCTCACATTTTTGTCTAACCACCTGACGAAAATATTAACGCTGAATGAATGAAGTTAAGCCCCTGCAAATGCACAAGCATGTTTTTATTTAATGTTATAGAGTAGTTTACTGAAAGCTGAAAATATTACCTTATATTTTGTATTGAGTGTAAGATTGCTATCATTATTGTTCCCTTGGGTTCCGAGTGAAAAGTAGGACTTCAGCAGCACATCTCCACTTTGTCATATTTTCGGCACTCCTCTTTAGCTGGACCCATGATGGTTCATAATCTCTGTTCTCCTAAAACGATCTCCTCCATGTCACTCTTGGATGTCCCATTTGTCGTTTCCTAATCGGGTTCCGCTACAGCGATGACCTGGTCTCCTCAGCATGTGTCCAATTCATTTCCATTTTCTTCAACATATTTGCTGACAGATAGGTTCCTGCTTGGTTTGTTCCCATATTTTCTTGTTGCTGGTTCTTTCTCACCTACTGACCCTCAGTATGGAGAGAAGGCAACTGTTTATAAAAGTGTGCAACCTGTTGGAGGTGCTTTTTGTAAAGCAGCAAGTTAAGGAAAGCATTTCCAACAGGTTGCAGACTTATGAAAGCGAAGTGTAAGAACTCGTCCAAAATGGTAACCAGTTTGTCGTACCAATCTTGAATGGGTTCACAGAAATCTCAGAATAAATACAGCTACTCCATCCATCTTGTTCCGTTAGATTTTGTTGTCTTATTGTTCGGCTATAGGTAACTACAAGTAATGCTATAGCTGAGCTTTTTTCTACATTTCTCATTTTGATAGAGTCAGCTAATCTGGATTTCAGTAGGTTTTTGTGCTCTGCTTTTCTGACTGACTCCGGTTCGTTACTCTGACCTATGTATTAGAGGTGACAATCACTACAAGGCATTACATAAACCAGATTATTTTGTTTAATGGGCTCTACAGGATCCTTTATTCGACACCATTTTTTCTGAATGAGTCTGTGAGTTCGAATGTCAATTTTACCGCTACCTTTTTAAAGAATTCTGAGTAGGATTTCATAGGTTCTCTCTCTCTCTATATATATATATAGCAGCAGTACCGATGTTTCGAAATTCCGTATTGTTGATTTTGTCATCATTCTATGCTTGTTTGCCATCAACATTGCTGCCACTACTTTGGGTTTAAGAGTCATAATAAATGAATGCTGTTTATTGATTTACTAGCATCTGGAAAACCATTACTAGACAAACCTAACGATTGATGTTCCCGATTTCTTTCCTAAATAAACATCACTGTGCGAGTGAATATACCGTGTTACAAAACGGAACACAACAAGTAATATAATGCAGTTCTAACACTAAGCTTCCATACTGTTCATTTAGGATACGATATCAGTAAGCTTATCTCTGTACTACTCATTCATCACTCATATTTGTTAATTTTTAGCATTTTACTAGAAATTACTCACAAGCAGGCTGTATTAACAAAATACCAAGGCATTATTTTGTAGATTTACCTGTGAATAAAATCTATCGTAAAGTCTTACGATTTCCTGCCTTTGAAAATTGGTTCTTCTTGCAAGAATGCAAAGTATTTTCTCTGCATCTAAAAGAATGACAGCAGGGAAGGAGATAAAATGAGTACAGAAAATTCCAGACTTGTACTGAAAATACGGTGTGGAATCAAGCTGTAAATCAAAATCAAAATCAAAATAAAATACAGATGTTTACGAAATGTTTATGCTTATATTTAGTTGCATTTATGTTATAGTGTTTCAATTTACACACACAGGGACACTTCATTCTAGTAAAATAAGTCAGGGAAAATCGAAAGTATATATATATATGATTGTTTTTGCTTAAGTGGCTGTCATAATGCAGCAGTCAAGTGCACAACGCTGTATAATTTGAAACCATTCCGGAGATTCATATTTCACCAGAAAGTGAATACACTGAACAGACAGGTTTCAAACTGAAGGCAAGATGTGTCCTGTATTCAAATGCTACCTATCGTCAATCAAATAACTTTTGTATACAGCTGTTTACTTGTTAGCGTTTCAAAAAATAAAATTTAAACCTGATTGTTATAATTTATAGTCTTTGACTACCTTCACTCATAGTACTTGGTAAGGTGTAATCAAATTAAAGCCAAGAATTTCGTCTTAGTACGCTGTATCCAATCGTTTGATTATGTCAGTAGCAAAATATGTGATCAATTTTGGTTCTAAATATTACTATATATTTTGGATGAATCAAAAGTGATACCTTTTAACTGGTGGAATACAAAGTGGCTTCATAAGAAAAAAACATAGATTGAAAATCAAGAGTTTTCCCCGTAAAATCATTTGAAATTGGAATCACAGAGAAAACTAACTAGCTCTAGGTACAAACGTTTTTCAGTAGTGTTTACGGATAATCTTATCCAAGGTTAGAACAGGAACTTTTTCATCAAAGAAAAATTCTTGGGTAAAAGTTTACACAACGACATCACTCACCGCGAAACACATGCGTTCAGGTAACAAGTCACAAACAGGCGAAACGAACTGTTTTATGTTCTGCTGATAGACATTGCAATATTCATAACTGGTGGAGCAGTGTGACTGAATAAGTAAGCCTAGGCCGCATTTCTCAACCTCTGTCGACCCACCTACCAGTGTATTACTTTGATATCTATCAAAAGGTGCGTATACTGCATAGAAGTTCTCCTCCGTACTTCAGTTTTACAACGTTGACACATGAAACTGAAGGTCTGCGATCGCAACCATCTACACGATACTGTTTATGTATGACGGAACGAAGAAGGCTATAATACTAGTATAATACTTCCCAGTAAGCTTAATGAATAAATGAAGTTGTCAATCTTCTCTGGTTGTGATGACTACGAAATGTGATAAATATATCAAGCTACGGCCTTCCTTAATCACTGTTGTTACTTGATGTTGGACTATTCTGGAGGAGAATCTAGACTGGTCAGACAACAACATATCATCAGCCTAAAAAGCAACTGTTGGTCAGCCTCAGTTTAATGAACAGCTGTAGTTTGTCTGACTATTGTCATCAGGATGTTGTGAAACAAAGGCTTGAAACTATCAGTGCTACGGTAAAAAGTCAATGACAGTGGTGCAAATGGATTAACTTCCTGTTATTACTGTTATCAAAACACGGAAGATTTTATTAATCTTCACCTGATAATTATCATCCATCTCATAATAATGTTTGCTCGATATAACACTGTGGTGCAAGCTAAATATAAATGTATATAAGTAGTATACAGAATGATGTCTTCAGAGAGACACTCCTAATTTGTGTCTCAGCGGTAAAGTCAGTGATGTGGAGAGCTAAGAAGAAGGTGACAACACTGAGAATAATCCAGCAAGAAACAGACAATGAAGATATCGTCATTATTGGTACATTGTATGATCGATATAAGTTATGTGATTTTCTTAAGGTACATTGTATTTTGTTACAATAAGCACTACTTCTGGGGTCATTAGCCTTGTTTACTTCAATATTATTACATCTGTGTCTACCTGTTTCATTTTTTGTTATAAAATATTGGATAGTGAAATGATGCACTTCTGAATAAGAACAGATGTTAGTTTCCACATTCTGACTGTATATTCCTGTTAGACTTGATCTCGAATACAATTTAACTAAACGACATACAAAGCTTTCTGTTCATTAATTATTTTCACACTTTAATTTCTTCTTTAACTTGAGATAAGTGATACAAAAGTTAAATGCAATTTACCTTTCTTTACAAAAGCTGAGTGGAGATCTTTTGCATCAGTTTCTGATTGAACTTGAATAGTCTTTTTATACAAAGAACCGTTTCCAATTATTGAGTAGTGAAATGACCTCTCCTTTCCGAATCTGCATTTTGAGGAGAAATTTTTCAGAGAAAGAAACATTCATGAGTTTCGGTTCTAATTAAAAATTCTTTTTCAATTTCAACTTCATTTCATGGGTAATTTTGCTACAGCCCAATAAAAGTGGTGCTGCTGAAAGTTGAACTGCACGTTATTGTGTCGCGATAAATTATATTTACAAATCTAAGGTGCTAAGATCAGTTTAGTTTAGTCTGCTAAATGTTTATTTTGTCATTGTCAAATGTAGTCTTAGCTGGGCAAACCGATGATCATGTAATGACTCGTTACCTTAGGTCTAAGGTGAATTTGACTGATGTCAGGAATCTAGCCATTTCAATCAAATTAATTTTCCCCTTTAAAACATGTATCACCGAAGATCACCTTAGGCTTGCAAATTTTCATATTCGACCTTTGGGAATTTCAGAATTCTTATAATCACTTCGCTCTGAATACCTTGACAATGATTATAATATTCTGTGGAGTGAATAACTCCTTATTATAAGAAAAAAACTCAGGAGATTCAGAGATAGATCTAATCACGTCCAGTAATAAAAGTATATGAAGTCGAAAGGTATTGTTAACAAAATCTCTTCTAGTAGAAAACTATTGTAGCAAGAAAATTCATTTGAAAATTTTTTCACGAACAAGCTATTTTCAACAGTGACGATCATTTAAATATTTCACCTAATTTTATAAGTACAGCCCTTTTCTTCTGACCTGTATATAATGATCTTAACACTTTTATTGCTTCTTTCGACTTAATCCATATTATTTGTCTTTGTCTTTGGTTGATTCCTATTTTCGACTCTTCAATTTGCTGTTGCGTGATGGTGTTGATAATTTTATGTTGTTTTACGATTGCAATTTGTTTGTGCGAAGTCAAACTGACGTTGAGGTAGTTTTTTATTTTCGATATAATTTTTCATTGCTGAATAGTATCACAGATTCTGTCATACCAAAAAGTCTTTCGATGTTGTGGCAGTAAAATTCTGGACTGTGCGTCAATAGCTGAATTTTGGCAAGGTTTATAGAAGGACACACCGATCACTTTCATGTGCTTAGACCGAATTATTTGAGTTTTGGTCATAACAACTGTGAGTCAAGGACATATATATATATATATATATATATATAAGGACAAATCTTTACACACGCATTTCCAAAGTGTTTTCTGAAGTATTATATATGCTGATTTAGGAGTACACTCATAATTACACACGAATACAAGATCTGTAGCTACCTTCAGTGGCCAATGAATAATGAAAGGATTATAATATCAGCTCATATTATTATTTTATTTCTTTACGTTCCCAGTGGAAAATAGAGCTTCAAGCTTCGATATTTGAAGTTTCATTGACAGTCATGTTTGTTTTTATGCAATGGGGTTGCTGGCCTCACGTCCAGCCATTCTTCCTTATCTGGCTCACTACCGACTAAGCAAGGCTTAGGAGTGCATCGACAGGGGATCGAATTTCAGACCACATTCGTGGTAAGCGAGTATTCTACCTCTGAACCACCAACGCACAACACTTCCTGTTGGTCCCATATATTATACATTTGAAAAAGTACACCTGCTTATTTAGTCTTCATATTCAAAATGTTTTACTTCTTATTTAAAAATAGTCATCGACATATTTAAGAGCGCTACAGGAAGTGATTAACAGTTAATTAGACCCAACTACAAAGTGGGTATTTCTCATTATTACTCAATTCTGACTGTAATAGAATTGAAAGTTTAGGAGTATCGAGCATGTTTAGTTTCAAGAATTAAAAGCTATGAGACACTACAGTTTAACTGTCTCTCAGAGTCTGAAGTGAATGCTATAAATTTTCCGAAATACTGGTTGACCTGGCATTATTGATTTCCACCTCAAGTGATAAAAAAATACCCACCATTCCCAAAGGTACACTTAACAAAAGTTTCACTTCGTTTTACACAAGTCAACTTACCTTGATGAAGACATGATAACCTAGAAGTGAAAAAATAATGAAATAGATTTCAGTAGCGTATAATTCTGAAACATATTATGTATTAAAATTTAGTCAGAGGAGAATAGATGAAATTTAGTAGAAAAAGGATAATGTTTTCCTGATTTTAAATACCATGACTCACTGACCAAATTGACGATTTTTCTACTAATACCGATTGTTTTTAGTCACAGTTTGTCGATCAGGTGTGTAACGCAGTTATTAAGCTGAATGTCAGTCAAGTGCTGAACACTCTGGCGTACTGCGGTTTAATATCAGATATCAGTAGAAGTCAACTGGGTTAATACAGATTAAAAGTTAACTATCTCTTATTTTAACTGTTTAATAGTTTTCTTATCACTTCACTATAAGGAAGTTAATAGTTTGATATACATCAAGTTAATGAACAACATAATTTAAAAGTAGCAAAACAATTAAAAATTATTCACTCTGACACACCTATATGCCATATTATCTATTAACAGTAGAAAACTGAAGCAGTTTGCTCACAGTGTCACTATGATAAAATTTCACCCTATCAACTGATAATTCGACAATCTGTTCAATTTCCGCATACAACATTGAAATGCATTTTTTAACAGTACCTCAGTGGAATGGAAAAGAAGTCTAGGTTTGTTCTCTTTCTAAAAGTTCTTTAACTGTCAAGGTTTTTAAAAAATATACATTCTGTTATAAAAAGAGGAAACTGTAAAACGGTCGCAGATAGATTGTTTTGTGACTAGTAAAAAGGAGGTGTGAAAAGTGATAGTCTAGCATAAGACTGAGGGACATCGCAGTCATCAGGTAGTCACATGATTCGATGATAACACTTGTTTAGCTTGCTTAGTTATTTACACGCACATCTGGTACCAAAAACACTTAAAACAATGGATTTCGATGAGACAGTATTATGTAATTTCTCTACAACGTGTAATGTGATTACGCAACACATTTTGGACATTCTGAGTAAACTAACTTGTCATACATATTTACATAAAAGTTAACAGAGTATAAAGGGCCAAACTGGAGTCGTATTAGTCAGAACACTTTTTCAGGAGGTCGAAACACCAGGTGACATCATCTGTCATTAAGTTTATCGTACAGACAGTGCTTTCAGTCCATATGTAAAATGGGTTCAGAGTACATACACTCATTGAAACTGTAACCATGAAAAGGATTAAACGAGTTTCAAAATCTACTTGTTATAACACTGAATTTGCTTTGGTAACTTCGACTTAAAACTAAAAGTTATTAAAAAAATAATATTGCTTCTTTTCACCTTACCTCTCATATATAATTTTGACCCCTTAATAAATATTCTGACCTATATGATTGAATTTTAATCTTTAATACGCCGTACATTTTTACACAAACATGAGTGAAAAGCATGTATGTGGTCGTAATGCTCAAAGCGTTGCTTAAATGCCTTATGCGTCTCAGATAAATAGTGTTCTTATAAATTTTCAAACCACCTACTACCGCTTTCAGAGACGTTACCGCTGAGCTATTCAGAGAGCTGGACTAGATGAATGACATTAGTTACTACCTGATTCTCAAAGTCGGCTTTGTTTAATACACTATTTGACTACATACTTTGATATTTAAGAAAATCCAAGCGATTGTACTGGAGAAACTGTGGCTCACACAAACAAAAAATTCATGCTCGTACAATTAAATATTAAAATTCTACCATGCTTTATTTAGCACGGGTTTTGTGAGAACAGTCAAATGTCAGAAAAGAACTTATAAACTTTTCAAATCAGTAACTTAACTGCATTGCATAAACAGAGATTACTATTACATGTATTATCTATGATAGTATCTATTTATGATTCAATATGTTTCCACAAACCTTCAGGTTTTGTGGTTTTATTATCTTTTTGTAATTTTATGTATCCACATATTTATTAAAGGAGCTAAATTGTTGCAGTGTGTATAAAAACGTTGAAAATTCCATTCTGTTTAATCATTGTTTGTTTGGAATAAAGTGATTATTATTATTATTACAACGTAAAGAAGCACCCCAGTTACTCAAACTTCAAAGCTCAAGTTGAGGTCCTATGTTCCACTCAGAACACAAAATAATGAAAAAAATATTTAGAATTGCTTTGTTTCAGAAACAATGGGTCACTAGGTTGAGTTATGTGTAGAATCGTGACTCAACAAATAAAGCTTCTGTTATTGATTTCTCCCTCCTATTACACAAGACTTTATGATAGTCACCCTGCCCCATCCTATGTATTGCAGTTACACACTACCAGTCTGCGTGACGTACACATGATAAAATTGTTCTGCAGTAAAGCATAGAAACAACCTCGGTAAATTGGAAGAAATAACTGTTTCCGGTCCTGTTAAGAGACATCAGCAGTACCAACTTCCACTGATTGTCTTCTAAGTGACCACTAAGAAACTGGTTGGAACAGGAGGAAGAGCTGTTAGTGGTAGTAATCAGTGCAGATTCCTTAAGGCAGTAATGAGGCTTCTGATCAACGAAATAAATTTCTAGAAAAAAGAAATATTTTTAGACAGGATAGTGTGTCCGTCAAACAGGAATGGTTTTTGTGAAGCTGGGTTAAGAGGAAAGAAGCGTTTTTCTGGTGAGAAGTTAGGAGTGAAATTGGAGAATTATTCTAAACTTCTTGGGTTTTCAGATGAATAAGTTTCCGTAGTTAATTCTACCAAGACCTGTTTGGGTGAGCAGAAACTTATAAATCCCTGGTGGCGAATTATTTCCGACTATCAGGATGAATGTCTTCAAACATGTCTTAGTTATTACATCATTCATTTTTATCTAAGGGTCTTTTTTCAGACCTGTTGTTTACTGATGGTATAGAAGATATTAAAAATCTAGTTATTTAGCTGTTCATATTTAACAGTGATCATGGATTGCTGGTGTATAGCTTTAGGGCCTATTGTTTATTCCGGGTCCACGTCTAGAATTTTCTTAACTTGATGATAATGCACATTCAGTGGGCAATCCAGGGGAATTAAAAATGAAACAGGAAACTATTTTAAAATCTCTGAAGTTCACTTCTGATAACTTTGATGGACCATGTGAAGTTCACTGGCAAACATAATCATCCCTGATTTAGGTAACAGTCAGACCATTGTTGGCGTTGTTCGAAATGTTACTAGGTCAGTCTGATTCTCCAAAAAACCGGAATGCTACAATCATTAGACAAGGTCTCAAATGCGAAATTGGAAATTCAGTGGAGGACTACATTCTCGTCTGTTGGAATATTGTTATCAGTAAAGAACAAGAGAGGATTGTCCTAATTACTACCTAACATGTAAGGGAAAGCAAAATGTCTCCAATAAACAGCGCTGTTTCACAGAAGGCCTTCTGTGCTTAAGCAACCTTTTATTGGTAAGGGAAAGTTAGGCTGATGTAAGTGATGCAAACAATACAGTAGGGTTTTATCTCTGGATAGTTCCCGGGCTTTCTATTATTCAAGAGTTTTGGCAAATTTAAGTGGCATTGGAATGAGTAAATTGGTACGAAACTGAATTCAGGACTTCTTGGACAATAAAAGATAGCCAGCTTTTAATGTAATGTCCTCATAGCAACCGTTAAAAGTCGAGCACATGGAGGTTCTGTTCTATAAACTCGTCTTTTACTAGTATATGTAGACGAGATATTGTCGACCATTATCTCTGGTGTGTTTTATACGATAATAGTTGTGCATATGCTTACAGAATGATTTAGATGGTTTAAGGAATGGTTTCTATAGAATAGTTTAAGTAAGAGTGTAATCAGGTATTTCTTTGATAATTACTTATACAAACTGGTGTTTAACTCTACTAATGGTTGCTAATTATAAGAAGTGCGTCGGTGGCACAGTGGTTAGGACTCTCGCCGATCATGCACATGGTCCGGGGTTCGATCCCCTGCCGGCACACACCCGATATCTATGGTCGGCCTGAATTTGGGCTACCGATATCACATGCTGAAAATTCCACACTTGTACTGAAAATACTGTGTGGTTTCAAGCTATAATAATAACAAAACAAAAAAAGATATGTAGTCCCTTAAAAGGAGGACTCCAGGTTTAAAGTTTCTAATCACGCATATATTCACTGTATTCAAATGAAAATGAAAGTCAATTAGTATGTTAACAGGGACTTTAGCAGTTACTTTCAATGATTTGTCAGAAGGGGTTAGCTGTAAGTCTGAATAGAGCTTAGTGGTAACATCTGTGTGTGGAATCAAGCTGTAAATCAAAATAAAATAAAAAATAAAATAAGTAGCAGATGTGAAGGGATTTAGAATATTATGCTCTCTCTATAAAACCTTTGTAAACTTCAGTGGTGATTTTTTTGGATATTACACCTAACCTATACCTGAAATAATTTCGAATGCGGGATCTAAGTGGCCAGTCTAAATCTTGAATTAGAAGCAGATTTATTAGAAACAGTCCAATGGGTGGGGATCTGAATAATCAGAGAACCTGAGACCTCTCATACTGAGAAGCTGCGTCAATAAGATGTACTGCTACTGTCATATTAGTGGCCGACAGGTGGCCCAATATTATAATTCAGCGTCTTATATAGTTACTAACTCAAGACGCTGTTTTCATCGCCAAAGTTTTATCCAATAGGCTAATGAAACATAAGAGAAACTTCTTATTCTATGGGTATTAGGTGTTGGTATCTGTCATCAAGTGTGATTTCCAGTTGTTGATTTTACTAAGCAGAATGAATCCAAAATATTTCATGACAAACTCAGTGTTACCGGGTTTATTATTACTCGTTGGAGTGTAAGTATGGTTGGCTGTCAAACTCCTAGCAGAATGGCATGTACATTCTTTGCTACAGCACTAGTCATACCAAATTGAAATTATGACAGTATCAAAGCATTCATTGGAAAAGCTCATATCACAAAAGAGATTACTCACTAGATTCACATAAAATGTCACAAGTTGTCTTAGTTCAAACACAACCTATCGTTTACTCCAATGATACGTTTTATTACACCTCCCTTTGCTAATAAAATAAGTATTGGCAATACAGAGCACAGCAATTCTCATTTCCTAGTCTGGTAGTCATTCGTGCAACTTGAAAACAAGCATTTTCAAATACACAATGTAATAATTATTCATCTCCGAAAAGATTATCAGACTTACTGTACATAATGCTGCAAGCACCAGAAAATGTTTCATTAACGACATAATTATAAAAGTGACTCGGATACTCTCAGTGTAACTTCTTGATTTGTTTAGAACATTTTTTATCTCTAGTTAATATGCATAAATAACCAATTACAGGCGTGATATTGTTTGAAAAAGTAAACACTAATGAAGCGATTGGTTATTTTCTGTATGCAAGCATTTTTTAAGCAAAACATGAATTTTCCCCAAATGAGTAGGTGATATGAAATTCTGCATAATGTATAAATCATAGACTATTTGTTGGGAGAATATTCATGGTTTCTGTTTAACTTCCACGACCAGTGAAATGGTCACAGAATACTACTCATTTTAAAACAGACATAATCTAAGAAAAGACTCAAAATCAGAAGCCTCTAATTTGCCGACTAGGTATTAAGATACAATGTTCAGCCTACGATTAGCTTGAAATTTCACCTTAACCATAGTGGTATCGTTTTTAAATTGGATAATTCTTGTCAGCACCCGATTACAGTATCTGCTCGTACACTTATGGCGGGGAGAAATCCAGTCGTACTGAATTCAGGATATAAAACAAGTTGAAAAGTATTTTGTCAGTCTACACACATAAATAGGTCTATGTTAAATGCCAGTTAGCATTTGTCAATAAAGTGTGTCTATTTACTAGATAGAACTGATGTGTCTGTGGAGACTGGAATCATTTCAGAGTGTACTAGAATGATAAGGTTATTTTAAAAAAATAGTATTTCCTCCTCTTCGTTTACTCTCATATGTAATCTAGGTAGAATTCATTTATCAGGAATAGCTAGATAACAAGACATTGGTCACTTTCTTGTAACCAATCATTTTTAGGGTAGGTTTCATAATTATCTGTGTTCATTTGCAGTATGCACCTGCTGTTATGCATAATAGCACTTAGGTGCTACTGCCAGATTTATCACCAACTGTCAATACAGGCAACGACAGCCTTTTTAATATACTAACATAAATCCCTTGGTTATTGTTGCTGACAAAAGTCCATTTGTAAA